CTGCCCCTTTCCCCCATGGCTCAGTCCTGAAGGTAAGTCCCCCTTGGGGGCCTTCTCAGAGAGAGCCGTGTGTGAGTCTGTGGTCGCCACACAGCATTGTACCCAGAGTCTGTCCCCAGACATTGCACCTGGCGCTGTTAGGCTGTGATTAAAGTGCTTTTTTGAGGTTTTGTTTTTCATTTCATTTGTGTTTCATTTTCTTGCCTCCCATGATTCCCTCCACATCATCACATTATGGGTTCAGATCTGGCATCTGTGGATTCATAACCTTGGGAAAATACACCATTGTATAACAGTATTAACTAAACTTAAAGTATATTCACAGCTTTGGCAGTTTTCTGTTTTATCTCAAATCTCTCCAGGGCAGGAAACAGGACTGTAGTCAGGTTTGTGTTGCACAAGGATGGACCTTAAGGGCCGTCATAAACCTATTCCTGCTCCTCTCTCCATTAAAGAGGAACATCAGTGTTAGAAGTGATGACAGGGAATGCTCAATGCAGACTTTGTTCCCTGGGGTCTGGAAGGGGAGAAAGGTAGTGCCTGCCTTCCTACATGACTCCGGGTAGATGGAAATATCTTCCTCTGCACAGTAACCCAGTGGCTACAACACATGGGGTCTGTGGTCAGCTGATCTGGTTTGCACTCTGGGAACTCCCTAGTAGTTAGCCTATGGGCAATTAGTATCCTGACTAAGCTGTTTTTTTCTGTGTAAAAATGGCCCTTCAGGGGCTGGAGAGATGGCTCAGCGGTTAAGAACACAGGCTGTTCTTGCAGACGACCCTGGTTCTTGCAGAAGACCCCGGCTCAAATCCCAGCACCCACATGGCAGGTAACAACTGTCTGTAACTCCAGTTCCAGGGGATCTGACGGCCTCTTCTGTCGTATGTGGGCACACAGGTGCACTTACCTACATGCAGGCAATACACACATACCCATAAAAAGGACGGAACTTGAGTTAATACCATGATGTTTGTGCCCACTGTCTCCAAAACACATTATCAGGCACTACACCAGCACATTACAGTAGAATATATTTGCAGAGTACTTAGCAGATGCTAAATAATACAGGCAAACTGCAAGTAATGTCTGAGTGAAAATCAAAGCTGCTAGCCAGGCCTGTAACTCCAGCACCCAGGAAGCTGAGGTGGGAGGATCGTCACCCCTGACAAACTCCTCCCTGACTGCAAGCCTCTGCCCACCGAAAAGCTGTGCCTTGCCAGCACAGTGGTCGGTATCTGAGAGGGAGGTGGGTGCTGTGTAGAGTGGCACTCTGCACATGGCCTCTGTTGAAGCAAGTCTGTTGAGGCCTGCATCACCAGCTAGCTGCTTCCTCGTTCTGACCTTGACAAGTGACTGAGCTCTGCCAGTTTTCTCTTTAGCAGGACAGAAAATGAAAACCAAAGGGACAGCATGGTAGAGTGGTGAGTAAGGGCCACTGCAGAGTGGCCAAAAGGCCTAGAGTAGCCTGCCATCGATCTGGGGGCAGTGCAAAGGTCCTGAGCTAGGAGTGAGCTCAATGCTTGAGGTGGAGGAGGAAGGGGAGACCCCATGATGCCAGTTGTGTTGTGTTCAGAGAAGCTGTGCCCCTCAGTGGCCCTGTGATGTGGGTGTAATACAGGGGGAGAGGGATGCAGGGTGCTCAGTGGAGTTGCTTTGGCCACCTGGGGGTCTTGAATGACACCTGGGTGGTCAGCCTCAGAGCCTCTAAGATGGCTTGTAATGTTCCACCACCAGCTGGTGTTGATCCTTGTGAAATCCCCTTTACTTAACTATGTGAGCTTGACCTGGAGGTCTGTTTCAAACAGGTACAGCCCTCCCCCCTTTCAGCAGCAGGGTGCATTCTAAGACCCCCCAGAGCATGTCTGAATCCACAGTACAGAACCCTGGAATACCTTTTCCATCTTTTTTCTGTAAGATGGGGGGAGGGGGCATGGGCCACCCACCTGGTCCCCAACTCACTATATAACCTGAACCCCAGCCTTCCTGTCTCTACCTTCCCAGAACCGGGGTTACAGGTGTCTACTACCACATCTGGACTTTTCCATCTGACAAGCATTCACACATTATCACTGTAACTTTGGCAGTTTGAGGTGTGAAAACGGAATTAGCACAATTTTTTTCCCACAATTTCACAGATCTATTATTTCCATAGATCTTTTTTTTTTCTTACGAAAACTTTTACCTTGTCCCTTACAGTAAGCACTTGAAATTTAAAGAAATTAATAAAAATGTTAATTGTATGAGTGGTCTTGTCTGCATGTGTATAATGTGTACAGTGCTTGCAGAGGCCAGAAGAGGGTGTCAGATGCCCTGGAATGGAAGATGATGTGGGTACTGGGAACCAAATCCAGGTCCTGTGAAGCAGCAGTTGGTGCTTTTAACTGCTGAGCCAACTCTCTAGCCCTGGTTTAAAAAGCTTTTGTGGGGGTTTGGAGAGATGGCTCAGCAGTTAAGGGAGGGCCCGAGTTCAGTCCCAGCACCCACATCAGGTGGCTTACAACTGCCTCTAACTCCAGCTCCAGGAGATCCAATACCCCCTTCTGAATTCAGCAGGCACCCCACATACGTAGCACACATGCTTATGCATACAGTCTTTAAAAATGTTTTTTTCCTGGCATGGTCTCACTGTGTTTTCCAGATTGACATAAGGTTCATTCTGGCTCTTCGGCATTTGTGAACTGGCAGCATCTCTAGTTCTGTGATTTGACTTAGTAGTAAGTACAAGGATGACTTGAACACAAGCACTGACTGGTACACACACTGGTCTACTTCCATGAAGGACGTATGGATAGCATATACAGTGTGGATACTGGATGAAAGGCTGGTTCATGTCTAAGGCATGCTAAAGTGGAAGGAAGGGATTTCACTGCACTATTGAAAGCAACGTGTTTCAATGAAACTTTTCACTGAAAAAAGTATTTCCGGAATTCTCTGTTATTTCCAGACCACAGGTAGCTGAAACCGTTTAAAGCAAAACCATGGGTAAAGAAGGCAATGGGTCATTGAATAGCAGATACTGGAATGGCAGTCATGATAAAGATCACAAAGGCTGGCTTTTCGTGGCTGTGGGGGATGGCAAGAAGTTGAGAAAAGGTTCAGTTTTCTGGACATGCCTTCTTGGTGTCTGCCCTGTGTTCCCCTCCACACCCCCCAAGTCAACAACCAATGGAAATGGAGTCCACAGTCCAGTTCCATAAGCAACTGCGTCCTTCAGCCTTTGTCAGACCTTTGTCCAGTCCCCCTGTCCAGCCTTCAGTCTAGATTGTGGCTCTGGCTGGCCTTTTGACTGTAGCCTCATAGGCCTTGAGTCAGACAAGTGTGGCTATGCTGTGCCAAGATTTCAGACACAGAAATACTCATTGTAAATGGTGTTTGTTGTTTTTTTGCTGTTGTGGTGATCGAGCTTAGGCAAGCATTCTACTCAGTACACTCCCAGCCCTAAATGTTGGGTTTAAGTTACTGCATTTGGGAATAACTTGGGGAGCAGTGGGTAAACAAATTAGGTTTTGGGAAATGATGTCACTTCTACAATGTGACTTCAACAATAATGATGAATGTGCTGCTCCTAAATGTGTGTTTTGTCTTGGGGTAAACCCCAGCTTCACATATTCTCTGTTAGAGCATCTTAATAACATACTCTTCTATATCTGAGTTTTATTTATTTTTTTAAAATTTTTATTTAATGCCAGGTGTGGTGATGCACACCTTTAATCACAGCACTTGGGAGGCAGAGGGAGGCGGATCTTTGTGAGTTCGAGGCCAGCCTGGTCTACATAGTGAGTTCCAGGACAGCTGGGGACCCTGTCTCAAAAAGACAACAACAACAACAAAACATGTTTATGTGGGGGCTGGAGAGATGGCTCAGTGGTTAAGAACACTGTTCTTGCAGAAAACCCAAGTTCAAATCCCAGCACCCACATGGCAGCTAACAGCTATCTGTAACTACAGTGTCAGGTGATCTGACAGCATCTTCTGTTCTCCATGGGCATTGCATGATATGGGTGCACTTACCTCTATGCAAGCATAACATTTATATACATAAAGTAAAAATAATACATAAAATAGTTTTTAAAAATAAAATAAAAATGATAACCATGCTCACTACTTATGATGGTCCATTTTAAAAATCATTTTTATTTATTTTATGTGTATGAGTGCACTGCCTGCATGTGTGTAATCAGTGCCCCTGCGTTGTGTCATGCAGTGCCCATGACTGTCAGAAGAGCGTGTTGGGTCCCCTGGGACTGGAGTTACAGTTGTTACCTGTCTTATCAGTGCTGGGTACTCTTCACCACTGTAGTCATAACCTTTAGCATTTGAAAAGGATACAGTTCAACACACCAAATCCATCCAGTTCATGCACAGTATAAAGCTAGTTCAACCACCATATATAACTTTTTTAATATGTATATATTTTATTTTTTAGAAGCATTTCATTACAGCTTTAACATACTCAATAACAGCAAAGATACATCTCTTTCAAAAGTGGCTATAAAATTTTTAGGTTCACTGTTAACTTCTTTGGGGGGAGAGTCTCAGTATGTAGCCCCAACTGTCCTAAAACTATGTAGCCAAGGCTGGCCTTGAATTCAGAGATCCATATGCCTCTGCTTCCCAAATGCTGAAATTAATGGTGTGCACAGAAATACTTTTTTTAAAAAGAATTTTTTTTCTTTTTACACAGACCCTGAATAAATACTGTTTTTTTTTTTCTCCTTTTTTTGGTCTTCTTTTGAGACGAGTCTCCCTGCTGTAGCCCTGGCTGGCCCAGACCTTTCTGTATTGACCAGGCTGGCCTTGAACTCAAAGAGATCTACTTGCCTCTGCTTCCCAAGTGCTGGGATGTGCCATCATGCCCTGTTGAAGAAATACTTTTTAAAATTTCATGTTTATGAGTGTTTTGCCTGCATGTATGTAAGTGCAACTGTGTCATGGAGGTCAGAAGAGGTTATTGGATCCCCTGGGACTGGAATTTTGGGTGGTTTTAGTTGTCATGTGGGTGCTGGGAACTGGACCTGGGTCGTCCAGAAGAGCAACCAGTGCTCTTAACAGCTGAGCCAAAGAAATACTTTGAAATAATATTTTAAAATATGAGGAAGACAGTTGTTCCCTACTACCAGCTACAATGACCAGCTTGTCGCCAGTTTTTCCAGTAAGCCTCCATTCCCTAAATTATTAGTTCACACCGGTATTATTTTTATTTCGGTGGTGTTGGGCATTGAAGCCAGGGCTTTATGGATACCAGGCAAGCACTCTACCAATGAACTACATTTTCAGCCCTCATAGATTTTCGTTTGAAATCATTGTAGTCTCTAGCTCTTCTTTATTTTGTGTACTGGTGAGTAGACACTCAACTACTTAGCTGTATTTTCAGCCTGGGTCTGAATTTGTTGATAGCATCTTTGTGAGGTCACTTAATGTGCTCCTTGGACCTCTGTTCCCTGCAGGTTTATTGATGGGCTATTCCTTACCAGAACCATGTGAGGTCAGGTTAATAGTGATGTTTGGAACTCTGGAGGCAAATTTTGGCCCCTTTACCTGGCTGAGATACCTTAGACAAGTTCCTTCTACTTACCAGAGCCCCTCCTGTGGTAATGCACAGTATTCATAAGGAAAAAATATACATGATGGATGCTCTTTGATTTTGCTTTCACTCCTGTCCCCATTTTATAGGTGGGGGAGTTGAGGCTCTGTGGGAGGGGGTTGAGGGGCTAGCTTAGCCCAGGTCATCCAGTCAAAAATGGTCTGGGACAGTACATAGTAAGCTAGGTGGGACAGTGCCCAGCCTGAGGCCCAAGATTCTGTGCTTACTCAGTACCTGGACTGTGTCTGGTAATCAAAGAGCTGCCTTGTGTCTCAGCACAGGAAATTCCAAGGTGGTTTTCCATCAGGCTTCTCTAGTTTGGTCCCTGGAGAGGACCAATCAGATCTCTACTTGCTACTGGAAGATGCAATCAGATCTCTACCTGCCTGTCCAGGTCCTTGATTATTGAGGGGTGGCTGCAGCTTGGAATGGTCTGGGTTGTTTTGGGCCTGTGTGGCCATTTCCTTGGGCCCACAGCCCTCACCCTGTATCTGAAATGGTTCTGACTGGGAAGTGGGGGTTGTGGGAGGTGTGGGTAAAATTTGGTGTGAGGCGGAGACAAGACAGAACACAGGTTTCCTTGTGCTTCAGCACAGGAGAGCAGGGAGGGACTGGAGACCCCATTCCTACTTGGTCACTTATAGTCCATTATGGCGTGGTTCCCAGTGCTCCTTGGTGTCTTCTTGATATCTGTTTTCCCAGGACCTAGCTGGGCTGGCAGAGCCATGCCCAAGCTGGCTGACCGGAAGCTGTGTGCGGATGAAGAATGCAGCCGTAAGAGTGGGTGTCCGGGGCTGAGGGCTTGGGCTGCTGGTAGGTGTGGAAGGTGCTCCATTCCCTTCTCTTTTCCCAGACCCCATCTCCGTGGCTGTGGCCCTTCAGGACTATGTAGCCCCAGATTGCCGTTTCCTGACCATATACAAGGGCCAAATTGTATATGTCTTCTCCAAGTTGAAGGGCCGTGGACGCCTCTTCTGGGGAGGCAGTGTGAGTCTTGGGAGAGTGAAAGAGGGAAAACTATGGGGCTGGGGTAGGAGTAAATTCCGTTTCCATCTGAAGGGAAAATCTGGGGAGGGAAAACTGAAATAGACTTGAGGGAGGGGGATGTTTGGTGACCTATTGTATTTAATTACAGGGCAACTTGGTACCAAGTTCTTTTACATAGAAGGTAACAACAGTGAGCAATCCCTTTTAATTCTAATGGGTGGAGGCAAGCAACCAGCCAGCCATCAAAAGTCCCAGCACACACGCTGTTGTGAGCGTTAATGGTGGCTGCGTTCTATCCAGTGCTTATACAAGGACCCCTGAGCCGGTGATATTTAAGTGGGTGGTATTTAAGGAGGTCTGAGTGCCAGTTGTCCGGATGGGGCTTTTAACTCCCTTTCCCAGGTTCAGGGAGATTACTATGGAGACACGGCTGCTCGCCTGGGCTACTTCCCCAGTAGCATTGTTCGGGAGGACCAGACTCTCAAACCTGGCAAGATTGATGTGAAGACAGATGTGAGTGTCTTGGGGATTAAGTGGTGATAGAGGAAGGGTCTTGGGTTGTGATGATGGCTCCTTCAGTTCCTCACCTGTAAATAGGAAGTCATTTTGTTGTTAGTATTTTTTGTTTTTGTTGAGACATTGTATGTAGCCAAGGTTGGGCTTGAGCTCCTCACTGAGCTGCGATTACAGGTGTCACTAGGCCCAGCTCAAATGCTCAGTGATTTCTAATTGGCTCTAATTGGGAGATGCTGAGGTTAGAGCCCAGTATCTCTGTGTGGACAAACCTGGCAACGGCTTTTGCTAAAACCACTAGATCCCTTGCAGTGTGACCTCTGGTTTTTATCTACTGTTTTCCCTTTCTCTTTCAGAAATGGGATTTCTACTGCCAGTGAGCTCAGCCTACCACTGTAGTCCCTGCTGTTTTTTTCTCCTCCCGGCTTTATGCAAATACAGAACCAAACTGCAAACTGTAATGTCTGTGGTTTTTGGGGTGGGGTGGGGATGGTCAAAGGAAATGGCTCGCAGGTTCTTGAATCCAGCCAATCAACCCCGAGTGTGGTAACGTAAATGGTTGCAAGGCAGAGTTTCCCTGTTGCAAGCCCTTTACTCCCAGCTGGGTAGGTCTGGGGCTCCAGAACCCAGAAGACAAAATAATCTAAACAGCACGACGGGGAGTGTAGCTTTCTCCAGTGAGGAGTTTAATACTGATAACGAGCCAGCTGGATCATGAGGAGGACATGAGAGCAGATTTCCTAGGAGGTGGGAACACCTGCGCGTGTCCTCTTAACTTCCCTCCTTCCTGCCTCTGGGGGTCAGAAATCGCACCCCCGAGTCCAGATCCGTTCTTCCACGTCTGTCAATCCCGCCCTTGCCCCCTATTTGCATTCGTGATCCCGCCCCCAGGTCCACTCCTAGCCAATCCGGAGTCTCGTCTATGGAAGGGCCCCCCCCCCAATCCGTTTGCCGCGGGCTCAGCCTCTCGGCCACCGCCCCTTCCCACTGGCTCCGCCAACCGCGTGTCGTAGCCACGCCCCTTTCGGCTCAGCCCCTCTCCGGTCACCAATCGTCGCTCCTTGTCCCGCCCCCCGCCCGCCGAGCCTGCCAATCCCTGCCTTTGAGAAGCGTGGCCTGGTATCCCGCAGCTCTAGCGGGTCGTGCGCGAGGGGGGGATGGGGGGGGAGGGCGGTGAAGGCGGAAGTGGCGGCGCCGGTCCGGGAGTAGGAAGGAGCCGGGGTTGCAGGCCGAGTGGAACGGCTGCAAGCCGAGGAGCAGGCGCGGCCGCGGCGCCATATTGCGGCCCTCAGCGGCCACCACCGAGTCATGGCCGAGACCTACGGTGAGGGTGATGGGCCAAAGCTGGGGGCTGGGGTCCAGGCCGGGAGAGGATGCGGCCTGTGGAAATGGGGCGGGGCTTTATAGACCAGGGGGCGGGGTCTGCCCCCATTGGGGGGGCAGGGCCTAAGTGGATGCTGGGAGGGGGTTTGTGGGTCTGGGGCTGAGCCTAATCGATGTGGGTGGAGCTTAGGGTCTGCTGTGTGGTTTCAGTAGCCCTAGGGTGGGATCTGAGGGTGCTGGTCATAGTGGGATCAGGGTAGGCCTTGATGCGTGCCGTGAGCCTTCATGGAAGGGGCGGAGCGTGAGTGAATAGGGCGGGGCTGAATGAATGGCCAGGGGTCATGCTGTGTGGCCTAGAGAGGGAACCTTGCATAGATGCTCTGGACCTTGGGGTTAATCTGGTTTGAGAGGTCTGAAGTGACCTTTTTTTTTGTTAGAGTTGGAACTTGGTGTCAAGGAATGGGGCTTAAGCTTGAGAGTAGAGGCCAGTGTTCTGGGTAAAGGGTGGGGAGAAGAGGTTTGGAGTTGGAAACAGTACTATACCCAGTGGGTGGAGGGAGAGCAGAGAGCAGTAGACTGCTCTGGCTTAGGAGCTGCATTAATTCAACAAACAGAAAAGCCAAGTGATCTAGTGCACAGACCTTGAGGAGGGAACCAGTTCAGGAAGTAGCCCGAATGTCAAGAGACTGTGGCAGAGTGAATGAGTGAGAGGGTGGTAGGAGGTGAAGTCAAGAGGAATAGAGGCCAGATCGCCATCCTTGATTAAATGGAATAGTTAAGGTCTTGCTTTAGGCTGGGTTTGAATCTTAGCTCTGTCCAGCTGTGTGGCCTTGGGCAAGTCAGTTAACCTTTCTGGCCTCATTTTCCTCATCTGGAAAGCAGGGATAATTATTAGTAGTACACGTCCCTCTTTAGAGCTTTCTTTTACCGTCAAATGAGCTATTGATGTACATAAAAACCTTTAGAACTGTGCCTGGCGTGTGAGCACTATTTAAGACTAATCTTGCACATCTGTTATCTCAGCACTAGGGAGGCTGAGGCAGGACGATTGCTTCAAGTTAGAGGTCAGCCTGGACTACAAAGCGACACATGTCTGTAATCCCAGGGAGACTGAGGCAGGAGTTTTGGAGTTCAGTGTATGATAGGGTTACACTGTGACACCCTGTCTGGGGGGAAGGAAGGAAGGAAGGAGGGAAGGAAGGAGCAGGGAATGGTGGCAGATGCTGTAATCCCAGCACCTCCCTGGAAACTAAGGCAGGAGGAGTGTTTGGAGTTTGAGAACAGTTTGGGCTACATAGTAAATTCTAGGTTAGCCTGGGATACATAGTGAAACTGTTTCAAGCATCCATCTTGGGCTGGGTGTGGCTCACTGTGAGGTAAAACACTTGCCTAGCATACAAGATGTCCTGAGTTCTAGCCACAGCACTGCAAATTATTTAAAAAGCAACGTCCCCTGTGCCGGGCGTGGTGGCACATGCCTTTAATCCCAGCACTTGGGAGGCAGAGTCAGGTGGATCTCCTCAAGGCCAGCCTGGTTTACATAGGGAGTTCCAGGCCAGCTGGGGCTACAGGGAGAGCCTATCTCAAAAAAAAAAAGAAAATTAAATAAAGCCATGCTTTATTGTTGTTGTGTATGACTCTGCTTTTGCCTTTGTCTGAGTTTTCCTTCTAACTACTTGTTTCCTGCCTTGTTCCATTTCTTTTTCTTTGTCTCCTTGTGTTTTTTTTTTTTTTTTTTTTTTTGACACTATCTGCTTAGACTTCCTCTTCAAATTCCTGGTGATTGGCAGTGCGGGAACTGGCAAATCATGTCTCCTTCATCAGTTCATTGAGAATAAGTGTGAGTTTCCTGATCTCTAAGTGTGGGCATGGTGTGAGTAAGTGGGCAGCAGGTAGAGTGGGCAGGGGTTGCCAATGGTATAGCTCCAAGGCTGTAGGCCTGGCCCTGGTCTTGGTGGATGGTCTTTGCTGTGTTCTCTGGCAACCCAGCAGTGAGAATGGGTTTGCAGACGTGAAGGAGGTCTGCAGCCTCTGCACTGCCTCCTCTTTCCCTTCCACTCCCAGTCAAGCAGGACTCCAACCACACTATTGGAGTGGAGTTTGGATCCCGAGTGGTCAGCGTTGGGGGGAAGACTGTGAAGCTACAGATTTGGGACACTGCTGGCCAGGAGCGGTTTCGGTAGGTGGCCTGGGTACCAGGGAGGGAGGGAGGACAAGAGAGAAGGGTGCATAATCATTCAGGGACACAGTGAGTGAGGAGATGGAGAGAGGGCAGGGAAGGTAGAGGGAGGGAGAGACAAGACCATTGTTCATAGGGGCCATCTAGCTGAGGAGAGAGGGAAGTCCTGAAGAGAAGTTGAATGTGGCTATGCAGGACTGTAACCCCAAATACACAGGAGACTGAGGCAGGCTTAGTGAGACTGCTTCCAAATGAAAATTAATTAATTTATTTTTGATCTTTTTGAGACAGGGTCTCTCTATAGCCCCAGCTGGCCTGGAACTCACTATGTAGACCAGGCTAGGCTTGAACTCACAGAGATCCACCTGCCTCTGCCTCCTAAATGCTGGGATTAAAGCTGTGTGCCACCACGCCAAGTTCCCAAATCAAACTTTAAAAAGGACTGGAGTTGGGGGCTGGAGAGATGGCTCAGTGGTTAAGAGCACTGACTGCTTTTGCAGAGGACCTGGGTTCGATTCCCAGCACCCACATGGTGGCTACAAACTGTCCTTCAGTTCCAGGGGAATCCGACGCCCTCTTCTGACCTCTGTGGCATTGCACGACACGGGTGCACTCACATACATGTGGGCAAGCAATACACTCACACACAGAAAATAAAAATAATAGATAAAATATTTTTTTAAAACAAGAGACTGGAGTTATAGGCCCTGGGTTTGATCCCCATGTCTGGGGAGAGAGAGAGAGAGAGGGAGGGAGGGAGGAAGAGGGAGAGAAAAGAGAAGCTTGGGATATGGTAGTGCTTAGACTGAAAGCCCCTGCCTAGAATCCCCCAGTGAGGGGCTGGGGTATGGCTGGGTGGTAGAGCACCTGCCTAGAATCCCCCAGTGAGGGGCTGGGATGTGGCTCAGTGGTAGAGCACCTGCCTAGAATCCCCCAGTGAGGAACTGGGGTGTGGCTCAGTGGTAGAGCACCTGCCTAGGATCCCCCAGTGAGGGGCTGGGGTATGGCTTGGTGGTAGAGCCCCTGCCTAGACTCCCCAGTGAGGGTCTGGGGGTGTGGCATGTACATACCTATGCACACCCACACGAGAAATAAATGTATGAGGAAGAGAAGGAAGGAAGGAAAGAAGGAAGAGTGAGTGAGTTCCAGGCCTCCCTGGAGTACTCAAGTGAGTTTGGAGTCAGCTTGGGCAAGTTAGTGTGACCCTGACTAAAATTAAAATAAAAAGGCTGGGATTGTAGCTCAGTAGTAGAGAATTTACCTAGCATGCACATGGCCCTGGGTTCAATCTCTAGCATTCCTGGATGTGGTGGCACACCACTTTGGAGGCTGAGGCAGGAGGATTGCTTCAATTTTGAGGCCAGCTTGGGCAATATAGTCAGTTTTAGGTCAGCCTGGATCACAGAGAGAGAGAGAGACTCTGTCTTAACAAACCAAAGTAATAATAATAATAATAATAATAATAATAATAATAATATAATAATAATAGAGACAGAGTGTGAAGCAAAGAGAAATGGTATCTTGACCAGATCAAGATCAGGAGGTTTTGGAGGATGGGCCAGCAGTGAAGGGGGGCCTTCGAACCACTAGTCTCTCTCCACAGAGGGGGGCAGTCCCGGGGCAGATCCCAGCCTTGGGGGTGACTGGGTCCCCCTGGCCCCACAGGTCGGTGACGCGGAGTTATTACCGAGGGGCAGCTGGAGCCCTGTTGGTGTACGACATCACCAGGTGGGTGCATGGCATGTGTGGCATGGGTGAGGTGGGGCCCAGATGGTCCCTCTCCTTTGCTGCCTCCCTCTTCTGCCCTTTCTACACAGCCGGGAAACATACAACTCACTGACTGCATGGCTGACTGATGCCCGAACGCTGGCCAGCCCCAATATCGTGGTCATCCTCTGTGGTAACAAGAAGGACCTGGACCCTGAGCGAGAAGTCACTTTCCTAGAGGCCTCTCGCTTTGCCCAAGAGAACGGTGAGGGCTGTGCTGTGGACTGGATGATAGGCAGAGGGATGGGTCAGTCCACTGTGACCATGTACATCCTAGCTCTCAGTGGCTGTCCCTTGGACATGCGTGCTTCAGCTAATCTGCTTCAAATCCACATGTTGAGCCATGTGACCACTGTGGTCTGCAATTTCCTCAGCTGGAAAGGGATGAGTAGTGTACTAGCTAGGGGGCTGCCTGTCATGCCCTTAGTGCCTTTTGGCACAGAGTGGCTGCTGCTGAGAAGTTTTCACCACAGTAGAGAGACACAGGGCACTGGTTTAATGTGGAGACTACGAATTCAGATGACTGTAGAGGCAGGCACATTTGTGAATAAGCCAGAGTGGAACCCAAGGGCACAGGCCCCTGGTGCTTAGGGGAATGGTGTGGACTGATGCAGGCTGTCAGAAGGTTTGCAAGTGGGGGTGTGGCTGTGTGCTAGAGTGTTTGCCTGGACTCCCAGTGAAGGGCTGAGAGTGTAGCTCAGCAGCAGAAAACTTGCTTCGAATCCAGCCATGAGGATCTGGGGACATGGCTCAGTGGGAAAGCACTTACCTAGAATCCAGCAGTGAGGGGTGCGGAGTGTGGCTCAGCTTAGCATGGTTGAGGTCCTGTTTTCCATCTCTAGCTCTGGGGTGGAAAGTCTGGGGGCAGGGGGCAGGGAAACCAAGAAAAAGGTTTGTGTAAATCCATTTGGAAATGTGGGCTGGCTAGAGGTTCCACACCTGCTCACTTGGGGCCTGCCTGTGTCCTCCCAATTTTCGTGGACCAGTTTTTTAGTTATTTGTTTTAAGGTTTATTTTTTATGTGTATGAATATTTTGCCTGCTTGTATGTATGTGTACCACATGCATGCCTGGAAGTCACACGAGGGTGTTGGGTCCCCTGGAACTGGAGTTGTAGGCAGTTGTGTGCCACCATGTGAGTGTTGGGAACTGAACCTGGTTCCTCTGCTCTTAATGGCTGAGCAGTATCTCTAGTCCCAGCTATTTGGTTTTTTGAGATAGAGTCTCATGTTGCCTAGGCTTACCTCAAACTCTGTACATGAGGATGACCCTGAATTCCTCCTGAGTTTCCCTCCCCCAAGTGCTGGGATTACAGGCATATGCTACCATGCCCAGTTTATGTGATGTTAGGGGTCAAACCCAGGGCTTTGTGCATGCTGGGCAAGCACCTAACCAAACGAATATACCCTCAGCCCCCTTAAAAATTATTATTTGTTATTTGTTTTTTGAGATGGCCTCGTTATGTAGCCCTGGCTGCCCTGGAACTGGCTATGGCTTTGAACTCAAAGAGATCTGCCTTTGCCTTTCAAGTGCTGGGATTAAAGGTGTGTGCCACCATGTTTGGCTTGTTTTGAGACTAGCTGCAAATTCATTATGTTGTATTGTCCATGCTGACCTTGAACACCTAATTGTCTTTTTGAGACAGGGTCTCTCTGTAGCCTCAGCTGTCCTGGAACTCACTATGTGGACCAGGCTGGCCTTGAACTCACAGAGATCCACCTGCCTCTGCCTCCCGAGTGCTGGGATTAAAGGCATGTGCTACACGCCCGGCCCTAATTGTCTTTTTAAAAATATATATTTTATTTTTATTTTATGTGTATGAGTGTATTGCCTGCATGTGTATAAGTGCACCTGTGTCATGCAATGCCTGTGGGATCAGAAGAGGGTGTTGGATCTCCTGGAACTGGAGTTACAGAAAGTTCCTAACTTCCATGTGGGTGGTAGGGATTGACCCCAGGTCCTCTCTAAGAGCAGCCAGTGCTCTTAACCGCTGAGCCATCTCTCCAGTCCCCTCCTGACTGCCCCATCCCCGCCTCTAGGGGGCTAGGACTGTAGAGAGTACACAGCTGTGCCCAGCTCACATCTCCCTTGTTTTCAGAACCCGGGGTTTAGAGCAGGTTTTGCTACTAGGTAGATGTGGTTTTGGATCCTGCCTTTAACTTTCCCATTGTGAAGCCCTGTCTGTTGGGCTTGGAAGGATGCTTAATGGGGCTGGATCCCATGGATGAAGTCAGCACTCTGATGGGGTTGGCAGTACCTTGGGCCAGAGGCAGGGAAGCAGACCATTTGCTGACAGTGACAGCCCAGAGAAGTCACTGCAGAGCAAGGGAGGCATGGGAGGCTGTTGAAACCCAAAGGAGGTGTCTGACTCAAGCGGGGTCATCAGGGAGGGGTTTCTGGGGAAGGGCTGAGGTGGGAAGGAAGAGCTAGGTGAGTGTGTAGATAGGAAGCTGGTGTTCCCTGCAGGGGAACATGTCCATAGAGGCTCAAGGTGAGGGCAAGACTGGATGGAGGTTCTTTAGGAACCCAGGGTTGGGGTGGAGGGTGGGGATTGATGGAGGCCCTGCCCCTGCAGAGCTGATGTTCTTGGAGACCAGCGCTCTCACGGGGGAGAACGTGGAAGAAGCTTTCCTGAAGTGTGCGCGCACCATCCTCAATAAGATTGACTCAGGTGAGGCTCACCTGTCTCGCTTGGGGACTGGGGTGGGGGGGTGGAAGGCTCCATGGGCTCTAAGGGATGCTCCTGACCTCTCCACAGGTGAACTAGACCCTGAGAGGATGGGCTCAGGCATTCAGTATGGTGATGCATCTCTTCGTCAGCTGCGGCAGCCTCGCAGCGCCCAGGCCGTGGCCCCTCAACCCTGTGGCTGCTGAGACCTGCAGAGCCAGGTGGGACACGGGGGGTGCTCAGGGAGGCAAGAAGGCCTCCTGTTGTGGGTGGGGCAGGGCACGCAACAGCCCTCAAGACTTGAAAAACGTGACAAGAAAAACGGTGACAGAGAAAGATGCAAAAGTCCATGAACCGAAGGAGCCATCTTCCCAGCCCATGGGCTTCCCAGGGAGCCCATGTGCCCTCTGCACCCCCAGACCTCTGCCAGCCTCCACCTGCACCTGACCCTCCTATTCCTGGTTCTAACTGATGTAATGAGCCTCTACTGTGTGCTAGGCCCTGGTGAAGCCACTGGGGAGACTGCAGTGGGTAAAACAGACCAAAAACCCCTGCCTGTATAGTACCTACATTTTCTTGGGAGGAGATAGATCATCCATAAGAAGCCCAGCCTCTCCCCTCCCAGCCATTGGCAGGTCCAGGGTGGCTGTGGGAAAAGTCCTTAGGCCTGGATCTGCTTTGAAGGTAGAGCCAGCTTGGTTTATGATGTAATGCCCATGGGATTTGAAAGACACAGACTTCCAGGATAACTTCATTGAACATGAATTATATAGTAGTTAGGGCTGTAAGAGCCCTAGAGAAAAAGTGAGTCAGATAAGGTAGGTAGAGTGGAAGAATGCCCTTTTAAACAGAATAAACTGAGGTGATTATTTGAGCAAATACCCAAGGCAGAGAGGGAGTCTTGGAGGACAGGAGAGAAGAGCAAGTGCAAAGGCCCTGGGGTAGAATTAAATGCATGGTGTGGGTGAGGAAGACTGAGGAGATCAGTGTAGGTGGAGTGGTTATGTGGGGGTACAGTATGAGGTTGGGAGTTAGGGAGCTGACTAGTGTCTGGGCCCTGTGGAAGGCTCTGATTTATACCCTGGTTGCAGCGGGAGCCATAGGGAACTTCTGAGCAAAGGAGGGAGGAGCAGGTCAGATTCAGTATATCATGGGGTCTCTCTGGCTACATGGAAGGAAGACCCTGGGGTATAGGGGTGATTGCTTAGATGCCAGTGCAGGACCTGCGCAGATTGCCTTGAGAAGCGGGCAGGGGACTAGGGATGGAGCTTAATGGTGGAGTGCTTGCCTAGCATGCATACAGAAGCCTGGGGTTCAAGGTTTAGCATTGAGTATGCTGATTGTGACCATAGCAGTGCACACAGGAAATGGCCCCCACTACATAGATAGTTGGAGGCTAGCCTGGGATACATAAGACCCTGTTTCAGAGAGAGACAAGAGACTGGACAGACAGACAGCTTGCCCAAGGGCAAGTAGAGGGGGATGGAGAAGTGGCCAGGTTCTCTCTTCCCTAATCTATCTCTAGGCTTGTCTCCTTTAGTTGCAACCAGTGGATCTGTCTAAAACAGACCTGCTTCTGTCCCTTCCATGGCTCCTGGGGTCCATGAGACACCACGGAAGCTGCTGAGCCTGGTGCTTGACCCTCTTCAGAGACTGGGCCCTGTCACCCTGTCTCCAGAGGCCCTCACATCTTTCCCTGACCCTTAGGCTGCTCCAGTCATATGAAGTTCTGTTTCTCTGGGTCTTTTTTCAGGCTGTGCTTTCTTTGTCTTTGCCCTGGTAACCTCTTTCCCTCTTCCTAGAAGCTTTGTTTCTCTGTGCATGATCTAAACTCCTTGATAGACCCGTGGGACCATGCAGGGTTTGGTCCCACCCCCAGCTCTGTGACTGGGTGTGGGTGCTAATTCATGAAGCCCAGCCCCCCCCCCCCCCCCCCCCCTTCCCCCTCTGTGGGGGAAAGTCCTTAGGCCTGGATCTGCTTTGAAGGTAGAGCCAGCATGGTTCATGATGTAATGCCCATGGGATTTGAAAGCAGAGACGTCCAGGATGACTGTTTGGTCAGTGCTCTTTTGTCCTTCCAGGCCTCTGCACTTGCTACTGCTGAGCCTGTCTCCTCATCTGTAAGATGGGACCAGTCATAGTACCTCCTTCCTATGTGTATCAGGAGGACTGCATGAGCGAATTCATGTGAAGTGTTTAGAACAGGGCCTAACATTTGCTAAAGGCTTGATAAACACAGGGCTGTTTGTTACTTTCCTTCCTATCTGTCTTAAGACTGAGAGGGTGTGTGTGCTGGCTCTGTAGGTCAGTGGTAGGGTGCTTGCCTGGCATGCAGGAGGCCTTCCTAGGTCCAGTCCCCAGCACCACAAAAATAACAAAGCAAAGGAAACATTTTGCTGTGCAGCAGTGGATAGGCGGTATTCGTCGCTCGAAGCCTGGCAAAGAGTTTCTTCCCTTAGTGGGCCAATGTGATAAGACCATGCTTTCATGGACTGTTGATCATTTTTATATTTTATATATTTGTCTGACATAGTGACACCTATAGATGAAACTCAAGTGTTTTATTTTTTTGTATTAATAATTCTCTTTTTTTACCCCCTACTCCCCCGTTGTAGATTTTTTTTTTTTTTTGAGACAGGGTCTTGCTGTGTACCTGAGGATGGCCTCAAACATTAATCTTCCTGCCTTAGCCTTTTGAGAACTGAGATTATGAGTTTGCACCACTGTGCCTGGCATCAATATCCTTTCTTGCTTTTGAAGTTAAATTCATGAATTCATAAATTTAGCCACTTGAGAGAGTACAATTCAGTGGCATTCAGTATAAAGTTGTGCAACCACGTCTTTGGTATCTAGTTCCAGAACATTTTCATTCCCCTAAAAGGAAACTGCACACCTGTGGAGTGAGCATTCATTCCTTAGTTTTTCCAGTGCCTGTCACCTGCCAGCCTGCCTTCAAGTCTCTTTCAACCAAGAGTCTTTAAAAATTTTTGAAGTTTATTTTTTTTTCATTTGATGTATACGAGTGTTTTGTCTGCATACATGTAAGTGGATACATATGTACAATGCCCACAGAGGCCAGAAGAGGGTGTCAGATCCCTTAGAATTGGAATTGCAGATGGCTATTAGCCACCATGTGCATGCTGGGAGTCAAAGCTTGTCCTCTGCGAGAGCAGCCAGTGCTCTTAACCACTGAGCCATCTCTATAGCCCCAACCAAGAGTTTTATTATGCATGATCCACTGATTTTATTAAAATTCTAGATAAATTATGAGAAGACAAGTATATATCCCCCCCACCCTTTTTTCCCTTTTTCTCTGGGTCTCATGTAGCCTAGGCTGGCCTCAAACTCATTCTGTAGTCAAAGATGACCTTGAAGTTCTGATCTTCCTGTCTCTACCTCCTGAGTGCCAGAATGACAGGAGCACACTACTGTACCAGGTTTGTGGGGCCCTGAAGATGGAACCCAGGCCTTGGTGCATGCTAGGCAGCACTACCAAGCCACATTTACAGCTTGCGCTCTTTTTCTTTTTTCTTTAGATTTTGTAGCCTGGGCTGGCTTCTAATTCTAGGCCGCTAACTCAGCTTACTGAGCGCTGGGATTATACATATGAACCACCACACCCTCTCTATTTTATTCAATTTAAATAAAAAGTCAAGGTCCAGCAACGCCCTCCCCACCCCTTGCAATGCTGCCCTTTAGAATCAGTTGGGAAGCTTTACCTCAGGAATTGTGAGGTAATTTCAACATTTCTAGAAGCTTCCAGGTAATGTATGCAGTCAGAGCAACAACCGCTAATCTAATGTATCTCTCCATTTGAAAATCGTTGGAATGAGGCCTGGAGCCTGAGTCATTGGGGACATAAAGGGACACAGCTGCAAAAGTAGAGACATACTTAGTTTACTTTTTTTTGTTTTGTTTTAGAGACAGGGTCTCATTATGTAGCTCAGGCTGGCCTCAAACTTAGCATCCCCCTGCCTGCATCTCTTGGGTGCTGGGATTACAGGTATGCACCACCATCTGGCAAGGGGCACAGTATTTAAATACTGAATTGCCCCTTTACAGATGCACACAGGTGTCTGAGGCAGACAAACAGGGAGATACTCAGAGAAAGAACCCCACCCACAAATGACCTGCGGAGGAGGAACAAAGGCAAACGCTGCACAGACTGGGAGAAAGTAGAGTACCATTAGGCACAAAGCAGGCCAGGAAGAAACCCAGAAATGAGACATATGCGAACTAGCTAGATCCAGGACCTCTCCAGGTCACCACACCCTTTTCTTTCAGCTCACCTGTTCTCCTGGACCAGCCCTGCCCTTCCGGCTGGGGCCCAGACCCAGGCCCCAGGAGGCCAGGCCCCAACCTGCCCCAACCCCAGAGAAGCTGCCCCTCCACCCCTCCTCCTTCCCTGGCCTGGTGGGGCCTGGCTTTGGGGCAAGACTGAGCCGTGGGGGAAGGGGGAACCCATACCTGCTGCTGCTTCCTCTGTCTTGGCTAACCTCCATCCCCCCAAACCCCTAACCGTACCCCAAGAACTCCCAAAGCCTGAGTGAGACCAGGGCCATTTGGCCCCAACTTCCTGCCTGGCCCTGCTGTTGTGATACGTGTTATTTATTACTTGGAGGCCTGTTCTGTCCTGCCTAGTCCCCCCCACCCACCCTCATAAAGCATTGTTTACACCTGTGTCTTGGCCTCTATCATTTGGAGATGTCAAGGAGACAGAAGAGGACCCTGATAGAAGCATATGCATGAGGCTTGGGTGGGACATGGTTTAGGGGTGCACTAGGGTTATATCTTGGCTCACAAACTCATCAAGGAGGGCGTTGGTCATCGTGTGCACACTTATCTTTTGGATACAGGGTCTTGCTGTTTATTCCAGACTTGCCTCGAATTTGAGATCTTCCTGCTTCAGCCTCCTTAGGGCTAGGATTACTAGTGTGTGCCCATGCCCAGCTTGCATACACACTTCATGACCAGTGTATGCTCCAAGCTTATGTGTGCAACACAGGCAGGCCTGTGTTTGTGACACGCATGAGTCTTTCTTGGACTTGTATATGGGGTAGTGTCTTTAGGAATATGTGCAGTAACTGTGAGGGGTCTCTGTTCTGGTGATTGTGTTGGTGAGCCTACTGTCCTGTGGAACACCAAGGTCAACGAATTTAGGAAACGGAGGAGGTCTTGAATCCACCTGGTTTTACCAGTGCATCTCTGATGTCTGCAAGTTGAGGCAGCAGCTCACTGTACTGTATACATGTGCTCCTGAGACCTATGTGTACTCTTAGGAATTTGGCTCCTCTTACACTGTGCGTGAGTGTGGGGGGGGGCAGAGAGGGGAGCAGGGAAGGAGAGATCATGAATCCTTTGTGTACCTCTGTGGACTGTGGGTCTTTGTGCAACTCCAACTCCTGGTCCTTCTTGATGCTGATGATCGCCTGCCTTCTGCCCTGAAGCCATCCTGTGGCCTGGAGACAGGTGCAGCCCCATCAGGACAGCCTCAGCTGCTCTCCCACTATGTCCAGGGGTAGCCAACCCCACAAGACGCCTAAGACCCCTCCCCACCTAGGTAGGGCTGGGAGTTGGGGGTGTGTGTGTTGGGGGGGCGGGGTTCAAATGTCCCTATCTGCCTACCTCTCCCAGGAGTGGTGCGCTAAAAGTTCTGCGAGAGAGCCGGAACTGGGCTGGGGACTTGGCGTAGTGGTAGCGCGCTGGCATAGCACAGGCGTGGGCTCCGGATTCAATCCCCTGGTCTGCATAAAGCAAAAGTTAGCCTGGGCTACGGAGGGAGCTGGTCTTGCAAATGTCCTCTTTAGGCAGTCCCATGTTGCTTTAATCTGACTCCCACAGTTGCCCTTAAGGGGCACAGCGGAGCGGGTCATGCAAATAAGACACATTTGCTCATTTGTTCTACTTGGCTTCGCTTCTCCTGAGGACATCCCGTACTCCGTTATATATAAGAAAAATTGCTTATGTAAATTACTGACGTACAAATTTACATACACTTTACAACTAACTGCACAGTCATTTCTCAATATCCTCTTAGGCTGTGAGGAGGATATGCCTATGTAAATATATTTGCACAGCAAATGCGAACCCAGCTATTAGCCATTCCACGGCCTTCTCTGCTCTATGGGGTGGGCCTTTCGGTGCAAAGTACCTAATTTGCACACACACACAAACACCCCATGCATTTAAAAACTCCGAGTACGCCTCTTCCTGAATCCAGCCCATGGAACTGCCTTCCTTCTCTCGCGTGAATGGGGCGGAGCGCATAATGCAAATGAGCCCCGTCTCGCCTACGGACCCACTTCTGTCCCCCGAGGGGTTTGCGAACGGTCTCCCTTCCCCAAGCGGTTCGCGCCCGCGCCTGCGCAGTCTCCCGGACCCATGCGGTCACGTGCCGCCAGGCGAGGCGGGGGCGGGGCGTCGCGGGCGGTGGGGGCGGGGTATGGCGCGCTG